TGGAGTAATGATGCTGAAAATTCAGCTTTGCATCACAGGAATAAATTAGATTTTAATGTATATTAAAATAGAAAAACGCTATTTTACATCATAATAATATTTCACAATATTACATTTTTTCCTGTATTTTTGATCAAATAAATGAAGCCTTGATGAGCAGAAGAAACTCCTGTAAAAACATTAAAAATCATTCTGATCCCAAACTTTTGAACGGTTGTGTATATTTATATAATATATTAATATATTATATATTAATAAAAACTATTTTAATATAAACTATATCATACAATAAAATATTAATAATAACATATATATGTATATTAATAAAAACTATAACATTATCTCAATGATACTACAATAACACTATGGTCTCTATCTTCTTGCATAGTAAATCAATTCATAACTCAAATCAATATTCCATGTCCATTTATTGATTTATTTAGTAAGTAATCTTATAATAAGCAGAATAATGTGCATTTTTACAAAATCAATCCTTTCAGTTTGACTGGAGCATTGTCTGTGTGTGTGTGAGAGCAGCAGTTGGAGATGGTGGAGCCGAGCGGTTGGATTCACATCCCTCTGTTGGATCTGGTGAACAATCCCATCAGGACCTTCATGATCCAGATCGCCGTGTTGGCCAACCACCAGAACGGACGGGACACGCACATGCGGCAGATCAAAGTCTACACGCCCGTGGAGGAGAGCTCCATCGGCAAATTCCCACGATGCACCACTGTAGACTTCATGATGTACCGCACCATCAGATGACCCGAGCTTCTGCTCGAATGGACGGACTGAGGTGCAGACTCTGCCTTCTCATAAGACTCTGTTCTAGAATTAAATGGTTTCAGATGGTTTAAAATGTGTTTTGGAAATTGAACAGTTCAAAGTTAATTTTATGTAAATGCAAATCTACAGGAAATAAATGTTTTTTTGAAATTAAGAAAACCTGTCCTGTATCTCTTGATGCTGTATTACAGCAGGATGGATCAGTTTAGCTTGCTTTATTCAGTTGTGATGACAAGAGGATTGATCGCTCAATTGCATGCTCTTCTACGCAACTTTGCGGAGAGATAGACAGGTTTTTATCAGTCCCAGGTTGCTACAAAGAGCCCTTTTGAGGAACAATACAACGTTTGTGAGCTTAATGCCATACAGACATAAATATTCTTATTTAAACATCCAAACATGCGTTCAGAAGTTCAGTTTGAGACAATTAGTAGTAAATATCAACAAACATATTTAATTGATGAGGTAAGAAATAGAGATCTGCTTGTATTACCATTAATAATTAAATAACATTTTTGGGTTAAAAGTGTAGGATTTATAAAGTACGATATGTCAAGCCTTTCATTTAGTGCTTGTAGTTCACATTTAAACATTCACACAAATCTATCAGACAAGTAAGAGATTTAGTTTTATTATCATTATTAATACAATAATATTTTTAGGTTAAAAGTGTAGGATGTATAACACAAAATGTAGTTCTTTACATTTAAAAGTTCAAATTTAGGATTTTTTTAAAGCTGTAGTACTTGTAGTTCACATTTAAGCATTCAAACAGATCTATCAGGTGAGGAATAGAGATCTAGTTTTATAATCATTATGTAATGTGGGGTTTGGGTTTTGTTTCATGTTCATGTTTTCATGTCTTTTATTTTGTAATTGTTTCATGCTCTCAGTGTCATGCTTCCCTTGCCCTCATGTATCTCTGCCTTGTGCATGTGTCATGTTCTGATTGGTTGTCCTAGTCATGTGTCTTGTTTCCCATTGGTTTGTTC